CACCATTGCACTCCAGCCTGGGCGACAGAGCGAGACTCTGTCTTAACAAAAAAAAAAAAAAAAAAAAAAAAAAAAGAAAAGAAAATCATAAGAGAGAAGGAAAAAGAAACTCCAAAGCAGATGTAAGCCTGTTTCCTGAGCCCGATGGAATATATACCAATTTCGGAATACAGGAGAGAAACTGTCCACGTCTACATACAGTATAGGTGTGCAGGGTATGAGGGATGTCAAGTCTGATGCAGTGATTATAATATCAGAAGAAATTAATTTTTATATTGTTGGTATAAAATTTCTCATGAGGATATTTAGTTTGATATCCAAAAAGTTGATTCTTGATTTTGCCGGGAGGATTATTTAGAAATGAATTTCGGTTGGTGGTTCAGTGTTTTAAGCCCTTGTACTGAATATTGTCTTAATCTTTGAATACTCACTATCAGTCCGTACAAACTAGACCCACCAGCAGGAGCGCTTCTGTATTTTGTCCCAGTATCTCTCTAGTGAGAACAGAGAAATCAGTTTGTAATTAGTTAGAAAACTGCTTAAGAAATAATGTAAATTTAGTCTGACTTAGAAACACTTTTGGTACTTTCTCTACATCAAGCATTGTCTGCTAGATTTTTAGCTGTAAAACTGTTGATGTCTATTTTCAATTTGTTTAAAAAATAGAATCATATTTCAGTGTTTTCCTGTCCGCTCCCTTTCCCTTATTTATGTATTTATTACAGGAAGCAGTATTCGCTCAACATCATCGTCAGTGTCTTTGCCATCATTCTTGGGGCTTTCATAGCAGCTGGGTAAGACTTTGGACTGTTCCTGCTCAATAACTTCTTTGTGTCTTTCACAATAGGCCCAGCCTCATCCTCTGTTTTTCATTTTCCATCTGGCTGCCATTGAATTGAGCAGCCAGGAGACAAATCTGTTGAAGTTAGTGGAATCCCTGTGTGTTCCTGTGAAAGTCAAAGTGGGTCCCACCTTGGCCAGAAAATTTCTGAGAATATGTGAAGAGAGCATTGCAAGATATTACTACAGCTTTTCTTCACAAAAAGCAGTGAACTGTTTACGTTTCTTACTGAATGTTTGTCTTTAATATAACAGCTTTACTTGAGAAGTTCTTAGGCATTTGATTAACAATAACAGACTTACAAAGCCTTTGTGTGCTGATTTATTTTATTATTCCATGATACCTTAGCAGTTGCTATTTCCGATGGTAGAATGCTAAATGTATTTGTATGTTTGGGATACGAGCCAACACTGGTGCACGACTACTACTTTAATAATTATTTTGCAAAAGGAATAACAAGGACTGTAAGTCTTCATGGGCAGGCAGGTGCTCAGATTTCTCTGTTATAGCATGCATGGTGGATAGTGCATGTTAATAGTTACATTCCCTGGGTGTGGTGGCTCACCCCTATAATCCCAGCACTGTAGGAGGCCTGGGTGGGAAGATCACCTGAGCCCATGAGTTTGAGATCAGCCTGGGCAACAGTGAGACCCTATCTCTACAAAAAAAAAAAAAAAGAGAGAGAGAGAAAATTAGCCTGGCATGGTGGTGTGTGCCTGGAGTCTCAGCTACTCAGGAGGCTGGGGAAGGAGGATCTCTTGGGCCCAGGAGTTTGAGGTTACAGTGAGCAATGATTGCACCACTGCACTCCAGCCTGGGCAACAGAGTAAGATCCTGTCTCTAAGAAAAACAAATCATGCTTTTTATTATTATAAATGTATTTAGTCCATTGTGCAGACTAAGGTTTATTACTTAATGTTTCATCTGTACCTTTCTCTCCCCTAGTCCTAGCCATGGGCTGAGTTTCACTCCTTGAAAGCTGGCTCTGTGGTCTCAGTGCTCCAATTCACACCGTGGGTATAGTGCCAGCACCCATTAGACAGCAGCGCTCAGAGCCTGGTCTAGTCATGACAGGCTTTTTTTGGAATGAAATTTTAGGAGTAAAGTAGTTTAAAAAGGGAGGAGTTCTATGGAAGATGCTTTGGGGCTAAAGGGGACAGCTTCCCCCTCTACTCTCTGAAGGTTCATTAAAAAAGGAACTGTGGTGGCTCACGCCTGCAATCCCAACACTTTGGGAGGCCAAGGCGGGTGGATCACCTGAGGTCAGGAGTTAAGAGACCAGCCTGGCCAACATGGCGAAACCCGTCTCTACTAAAAATACAAAAATTAGCCCGGTGTGGTGGCGTGCACCTGTAATCCCAGCTACTGGGAGGCTGAGGTAGGAGAATTGCTTGAATCTGGGAAGTGGAGGTTGTAGTGAGCTGAGATTGTGCCATTGCACTCCAGCCTGGGTGACAGAGTGAGACTCCATCTCAAAAAAAAAAAAAAAAGGAACTGACAAAAGAGCAGGTTGAGAAGAGAAAAAGACACACAGGTTTACCTTCCCATGCCTGGGGTAGAGATCACGGGAGAGCGGCCACCCAGGGACCCAGTGGGGTGCAGGTGCTTCTATATCCTTCTTCACAGGAGGGCAGGGAGTGGAGACAATGCTTTGGAGAGGTCAGGAGTGATGACTGGAGAGAATGAATGGACCTGGGAGACAGAAATTGTAAAGGATTGATTCTCTTTGGAATTTGCACCCGAGAGGCAGACATTATATTTTTAAAGTCTGCCCAGATGTGGCTGCATTCCTCAGTCTTGTTCTCTGCAGTAGATGTCCGAGAGGGGGATGGAAAGCAAGTGTGTTCTCATGAGTGGCAGTCTTTTAAGGTCGAAAAGGGAGTATCCAAGAAAAACCTCTTCAGCATCTGCTGCCCTTCAAGGGCTTTCCATGTAAAATAATCTGCATGCCAGGGTACCATATTTTGGGGTGAAATTCCCTGGGCTCCTCCCACGGCACTCTGAGGTCTCCCCAGCACAGCCCCTCTCTTCTAGCTTCCTTAGGGCTCATCTTGAAAACCACTGACTTACAGCCAGTTAAAGACTTTTGCAAAAAATGGTTTATAAAACTGTTGGTAAGTCTTTGGTGAGGAATGGCCCTTCAGTTACCATGTGTATACAGGCACGTTTCCAGAACCAGGGAGCAGAAATCCAGTCTGTGCTTCGCATATGTAAGGACAGTCTACAAATGATCTGAAAGGGTAAATCGGGGTTCCAAAAGCATCTGACTTTCAACCAAGAGCCAGCCTGGAGTATCCATGCTCAGGCTGGCTCTTCCTCTGGCACTCACAGAACGGATCCCCTCCTGGCTGCTGGCATTCACAGCGCTTAGCCACAGATCAGCCGTGAGTGCTCAGCTAGAGACCAGCAGTGACCCCATCCTGCTCTCCTCTTACATTAGCGCATCCAGATGCAAGCAGTGGCAGATCAGACTGTCCGGTGAGCAGGCGATGCCGCTGTAACAAACAACCTCCACACGGCAGTAACTTCACTCACCAGATGCACCCCATCCATGCCACACACGCCACCCAACACCAGGCAGTGCTAGTGAGAGGGCTCTGCTCCATGTGCTTACTCAGGCATCCAGGCTGATGGAGTCCCTGCCTCAGAGGGCACTTCCTTTACCAAACAAGCAGGAGAAGGGAATGTGGGGAATTGTGTACTGGTTCTTAAAGGTTTCACCCAGAAGTGACATGTGTCACCTTCTCTCACATTTTATTCAAAAAGCAAATCACATGGCCAGAAAAAGTTAAAATACAACATCTGGGCTGGGTGTGGTAGCTCCTGCCTGTAATCCTGTTACCGGAAACGGGTCCTGATCCGGACCCCAAGAGAGGGTTCTTGGATCTTGTGCAAGAAAGAATTCAGGGCAAGTCCACAGTGAAAGCAAGTTTATTAAGAAAGTAAAGGAATAAAAGAATGGCTACTCCATAGAAAGAGCAGCCCCGAGGGCTGCTGGTTGTCCATTTTATGATTATTTCTTGATGATTTGCTAAACAAGGGGTGGATTATTCATGCTTCCCCTTTTAGACCATATAGGGTAACTTCCGGACGTTGCCCTGGCATTTGTAAACTGTCACAGTGATGGCGGGAGTGTAGCAGTGAGGACGACCACAGGTCACTTTTGTGGCCATTTTGGTTTTGGTGAGTTTTGGCCGGCTCCTTTACTGCAACCTGTTTTAATCAGCAAGGTGTTTATGACCTGTATTTTGTGCTGACCTCCTATCTAATGCTGTGACTTAGAATGCCT